TTATGCCTCATCCTTCTGGATATGGATAAAAGACCATAAAATCGAGCCCTTAAGTAATATGATCACTTTTTAAAAAAATCAGGAATTTTGTAAAGATTTGCTAAAATGAAAAAATGTAAGCAAGTTCATTGGAAAACTTATACAAATTTCAGAGTTCAGTCTGAATAAACAATATTTGTGGAAATTTTTATACTTTCTGATCAACTGAGAAAGACTGTAGAAAAGAGTTTTGTGCCAGAGATAACACTCAATGTTCACCACCTTTGTTTCCTAGTCCTCATTCCTGAAAAATGAAAACTATATTTTTCAACCCCTGGAAGGTAGGTGATGGCATATGCTGAGCCCTGGCAAATAAATTTGAGTTCTAGCAAATAAACTGTACATAGAAGAGGTGCTTTTCAGAAAAGTACCCCCTTGTAAACTGTGAATGATTATTTTATTCATCATTGATTTTCCTAACATGAGTACCATACCTTTCCGCCCACCAAGTCCCCGTGAGGCACCCTAAATTTTTTTCCTCACAATTTAAATTATTCTAGACATTTTATATCTCTCCACTTTATACTGTTAAGACTTAAAACTTTTAGCCAACCCAGTTAGACCTTTGTATAAGCGTTTTGTTTCATTCTGGAACGGTGCCTGCCTGCTTTCCCTCTCTATAACTAGGTGTCCTCCTTCCAATGGAAGGAGCCCAACTGATATGGCTAATGTTATTGCAAGCAATCCAACATCACTAGACGAGCCATGACATATCTTTCACTGATAACTTTTATTCATTTACTAATCAACTATTCAGCTCCTACCATTTATAAACCCATTGTTTTACTCCTCTTTTCAAAAGATGAAGGTAGAGGACCACCTCTGTTTACATATTCAAACTGTTAGTAAGAGATCAACTGAAGGACTTGTATGCATGCATATAAGCATAACCAATGGACACAGACTGGGGGGGTGCTGGGAGGAGGAGAAGGCATGCGCCAGGGGTAGTGGAGGCCAGAGAGAGGACAATGGGAAAAAAGGGAAACATATGTACTACTATTTGTAATACTTTAAACAATAAAATAAAATTTTAAAAAACCACACCCAATGTCTAGAAAATGACATAACATTGTCCAACCTTACACACTGGCATCATATACTTTAACTTATAAAAAAATCTCAAAGGCAAGTTGGGAATTTGGTAATCGCCCAGAGTCTCTGATGGGTTCAGAGCCTCAATTCTCCCTTCTTCACTAGCTTCCTGCCATGTAAGATGAACAGAGACTTTGCTCCCGTCGATCTCCTGTCTCTCCTTCCATTCTTCCATTTTCTCCCTGTCCTTTCTGGTTCTCAGCCCTGTGGTCCCCCTTTCTCTGGCTGGTTGTCAGCTCTGCTCCCCGTGGCTCCCTCCTGGTTATTATAGGTTCTATTTTACAGTGAAAGAGAAAAGAAAGCGAGTCTGCCCTCGGGCTGTGGGACCAGTGAGACAGATCTTTAGCTTCCTAGGCTCATTATTCCGCTGGCTTTGTGCCGGAGTCTGCACCCTGCTCATAGTCTCACCTGGGGTGTGGTCCCAGCTGATGGAAGAGAGGAGAATGAGCCAAAACCAAAAGCACTGTGACACCTACCCCAGGTCTGGCACAAGGTACAATGGAAAATGGTGAATGAAAACTCAGCCTGGTGGGAAGCCAGGTGTATATACAAATACTTTTTTATATACAAATAATTTTAACCTGCTTTGGAATTGATCAGAGCAGCAATATTTCCATCACCATCAAATCAAGTGTCTGGTAAGAGAAGTAACTGCTACTCGGCCTTGCGGGTTTCAGACAAGTTTTTAACACGAGGATATGACATTTGGATTGGCTCTCACCTGTAGCCCTCACCATAAGCCACTGGAGCATCCATGCCCCAGCTCTCTCATTACATGACTGACAACTATTCCAGTGAGTACTAACTACAGAAACCTTCATGTTCACACGTTCTGTGATGAAAAACTCTACATTCACTATCAGAGCTCCCACTTCGTTTACTTCCTGGAGTTAATCACCTTCATGTATGTATGTATTTGATCATTTTTATATGCATTCATTTGTGGCCTGTCTTCCCATCTTGAAGGTAAACTCCATGAGGGCAGGAATCTGAGTCTTGTTCCGTATTATATTCCCGGAGCCCATCTCACATCTAGTGCATAGCAGCTGCTCAATAAACAGTTATTGACTAAGTGGAGTATAACATAGTTACTTGTTTGTATGTCTATCATCTCCATTAGATGAGGAACCTCTAAAGCAGTGGTTCTCAACCTTCTGGCCCTTTAAATACAGTTCCTCATGTTGTGACCCAACCATCAAATTATTTTCGTTGCTACTTCATCACTGTAATGTTGCTACTGTGATGAATCATAATGTAAATATCTGATATGCAGGATGGTCTTAGGCGACCCCTGTGAAAGGGTCTTTCAACCGCCAAAGGGGTCGCCACCCACAGGTTGAGAACCGCTGCTCTAAAGCAAGTTTGACATGCTTGCTCTAAGGAACCGTGTTGAATTAATTTTGCAATTTCGTTTTTATATGGCAATTCCTCCTGCTCTCTCACACTTGGTAGATGCTAACAAGCTCTTTTAAAAAATTATTTATTGTTTAAAGTATTACATATGTCTCCTTTTCCCCCATTGACCTCTCCCCAGCCACTCCCGCCTCCCAACACATGCCCTCACCCCCCTAGTCTGTATCCATTGGTTATGCTTATATGCATGCATACAAGTCCTTTGGTTGATCTCTTACCCCCATCCCCCGCCACAAGCTCTTTTTTGCATAAATATAAGATTGTTATATACCCTTCCTTTTATCCATTGCTTTTGTTGGAAGGAAGGTAAAGAAATTCTAGGCTGAAAAAAATTTTTAATTTAAAAAGTGTAAGAAAAAACTAAGTTTGTGCTACTTCAAGTTGAGCAAAATAGTTCTTCCATCTCACAGGAAGAAAAACAAAGAAAACCTCTGGGACCACTTTGTACATCTATTTTGGGACAAAATAGTGACAAGATGAAATATTCAAGAATGTGACCACTAAATAGAAACCCTGTTGAAATATGTTTTGATTTTTCTCCTTGGGCACATCTTGGTAGGTTAGCAGTTTACCAGGGACGAGAGATGACATTCCCTCCCTCCCAATATTCAGTACATTCCCTTTGCCTCAAACGTGGCAAACATCTTGAATTTATTCCTTGATGTCCCAAATTCAAGATGACTTTGTGAGGTCCTTTGAGTGGCAAGGCTACTAGCCTGAAGCTGACTCAGAACCAATAGAAGTATAAACTTTTAAGATTAAGCACTGTCTGATTTAAATGTATCTCTTTACAGTAATTCTTATAGCAAGTACCCGGTGCAGCACAATCCTTGAACTAGTGGGGTCTGAAGTTATGAGATGAACTAAACTTGATATAGAAAAACAGTCAATATCCACAGTGCAAGTTTTGTAAAGCATTAGGGGAGCACATGAAAAAAGCACACGTCATATCAGGATAATGCCAAGTTCTATCACGACAGGTCTAGAGAAAAGATTGGCTACTGGAGATGATGGAGTCAGATTAAAAAATTCCATCTACCCTAATCACATGACCCACTATGGTTGAACGCTCACGCTAGCCCTATCACCAGGGCAGTTATAATTTATTGTATGTACTGGCTCAGATTTTCACCCACTAAACTCAAGAGTTCCTTGAGAGTCAGGATCAAGTCTTTGAATCCTAACACCTCACATAGTCACGTAACTGTGGCACATAATGCAGGTTCAATCAACCTTGTCAAATAATTAATTGGTTGGTTGAACAATTCGTTCAAAGTGTTGAACATTATGCAAATGTAAATAGCTCCATGAAGGAGGCTACCTCTGTTCTGTCCACATCTGACTCCAGAGCACCAAAAACACTCAACCAGCTTTCACGGATGGGCAAGTATGGTCACTCGTGTCTGTGTAGGGTACACACGGTCTCTACAGACAAAATTTTATCAACACAGTGAATGTCCTGCAAGTATCTCAAGGATGCTTAGGGCTGCAGGAAGTACCCCAGGAGCTATTTAATTCACATTCTCACTTCTTGGTTACAGAAGAGCAGGAGCTTTCTTTGTACCCAGATCCTCCCTCTGCTTGTCCATTTTACTGGTGAGGAGTGAACTTCAGGAATAAGCAGTGGTACGTATATCTTCCACGATGAACAGAAGAATAAGAAATAGAGTTTTTCAGCCTCCAACCAATAAACAAAGCTTACTTATTCAGGATGGAATTTTATTTGCACGTCAAGATCTATTGAGCCAGGATATGAGGGCCATGTGAGAAGAGGAGAAAAAAAATAAATCCCAACCACCACCACACTGGCAACAGAACACATTTTCACAGGTTAGCCCTAAAGCGAGGCATTCTTCCTTCTTGCCTCAAATTTTTGGCACCACCAAGGGACAATTTTCTGAAGGACTAGAAGGGACTCGGGAAGAGGACAATGATAATATGTGGGTGGGGTGACCATAAACACTGGAAGAGGCTGCGTGCTGCTAGATGCTACTCAGAAGCCTGATATTTCAAGGAGCCCTGAAGCAGGGTTTCCTGCCTGTTTGCTTCCTGGGTCTGTTTCTCTCTTTCCTTTTTTATTGAAAGGCATATTTTCCTATCCATTAAGATTTATGGTTTTCTGCCAACTACTTCGCTGGAACAAGTTCCCCCTTTAACTTAACAACGCACCTATTAGACTGTAATGTACCCATAAAAACTTCTCCTCAGATAGTGCTCACAAAATGCATTTCTTTAGGACTCAAGACGGAGAGAAATATAGTCTCATGAAATTTGGAACCGAGTAGCTCCCACTTGTTAACTAGGTGAATATGTCAGGCCATCGTCATATCACGAGAAAGTCACATTCAATGAAGTCAACATCTCCCAGTTCTAACAACCACAAGATCTAAGGGTTTTCGAGAACAATAAGACTGTCACTAATTTTTCTGGCTCATTATATCCTCTGTATGGCTTACCCGTTAGCTGAGCTCCAAGAAGTTTTCATCTTCATTTTCCCATCGTTGCCAGACCCATGGACTTTGTGGCATTTGCCATAGCACACTAAAAAAAAAAAAGGATCAAAAAAGGGCATTTAAAAAGAGAGAAAATTTCTTAATCATGCTTTCATAACTTTTAGTGAACAGTTGGTTTAAATTTCCAAACAACTCTTTTCCAAAGGACAGTATCAAAACACATGCAAAAAATAAAAGTCTAAATAAAGCACAATAAATTATTTCACTGCTAAGGGATTAGATTTCAAAGAGAGAAGTACACATAAGGATATGAGAGTGGACTATATTGGATCTCTGGGAATTGCTGTCAGATATTGATGAAAACAGAGAGACTGTAGGAGATCAGATAAAAGAGAGAAATGATTACATTTGGAAGAACAATGTGAAATTCGTGGCCAACAGAGATTTCACATGTAAGCTAATAGCAATCCACGAAAGAACAAAGTTGGAGCGAGTCCCACATCTTTAACCACATTTATAATCATTCAGCATCTGTAAAAATTTCTACATAGCATTTTTCCTCATTTCAAAATTTGCAAAATACCTATTTAATAGGTTTAGCATGTCAGTCGGTAATTTCGTCCACGGGCAGTGAAAAGGATTTGTGTGTGTGTTTTTTCAAACGAGTTGGGTTTTGCTGCCCTTTCGGCTCTGCCCCCAGCCAGCTGCGATCACAGGCTGGTTCGCAGCCCGGAGATGCCGTAAACAACGTGTTCTGTACATTTCAGCATCCACGCTGGTGAGAAGACGCATCGTCTTCTACTTTCATCTTCTCTCCCCCAAGATTCACACCCCCTCCATCTGGGACAGAGAGAGTCCATTTTCAGCTTGCGTACTGTCCCCTTTGTCTTCCCCATGATCACCAAAGAGCCACTGGTGGTAGAAAGGTTTCCCTCTCTGATAGAGGAGTATTGACCGTTATGTTGGAAATGATCAAAGATGACTCAAACTGAAACAAAACCTGAGGAATAAAAATTGAAAAGCCAGCTGGGACAGTAACTGGGGGATTGAGTCGGGTCAGCCCTCCAGAGGCGGGTGGTCCTGTCCCCTTCGCGATGATGTCATCGTCTCCAGATAACCTGAAGTGGTCCCAGCGTGAGCAGCCAGTAGTCTGGTTCATTTCAGCTCCATAGATGTGACTTCATTACATGATGCAAGCTTTCCAAATTGCTCCCAGTTGCGTTCTGTCCTTTTTTTCCGATCCCCTAGTTGTCTGTATTTGAATCAAGTGAACAATTAAAAAAAAAAGATAGTCGATATCAAAGGCATGTTAGAACAGCATCCTGAACCAATTAATTAATAGTATGGATCCTACCCTCATATCGGAGTGTCTGTTACAGCACAGATTTGCTTCAGGAGGGAGCATGAACACCCCAATTATGGGTCATGAGCTCCTCAATGATAGCCAATTGGTTTTGGATTGGAAACTTTTCCTATCTTTGTAGGCAACTGAAAAAAAAATACAAAAAGAAACTTGTTCATGAAAACTTGTCCATGCTACCCAAATTTTACTATAATTTATAAGCCCTTATCTGATTGGACATCAAAACTTTGTTTGGTGTTACATAAATGGGGATTCGGAAAGCTTTTTCAGCCTGCTCATGTCATCTGCCATCTCTGACACCTCCATAGTTACTCCATGTGTATGTGGCCCTCTTGTCCAGAACATTCAGAACAGAGAAACTATGGCTTGCGATTGAATTACAAAAAGAAGGATGTGTACATGGTGGGACACGGAGAGATCTCCTAGTAGGAAGAGTTTAAGAAGGGGGTGTATTTTCTCAATTTGCTTTCTCAGACCCGAAGTCTTCCCAGTTCCACTGCAAGTAGAAAACACAGCTAACAGTCCCGCCGAATTCTTCAAGAATTCATATCTGTTGGGACTTTTCAACAATATCCCCAGGACAGATTCTTGAATTTGCTTCAATCTTGATTACAGTCTACACAATGAACAAAAAGTATTTCTACACAATGGCAAATCCTAGCTGAAAATAACATTGTTTTAGTTTAGGGGGAGACTTTTTTTTTTTCAATAAAGCCTCCCACTTTGTATTTTGAAAGAAAAAAATATGCACTGGAGAGAATTGGTGTCTTCGTCATAACAAATCGAATTTTCATCTGGGACAATGTAGGCACAGTGACGAAGATATGGGCAGAAGAGCCTCCTGGTTACATGTCATGCGTGTCTATGATGGATGGATGTCTAGCTGTTTGGATGTTTTTCCTTCTCCAAGTCTCTCATCACATTCTCGTTTCCAGGAATCCAAGAGTCTAGCCTTGTGGTTAGTGGAGGTGCTCCGAGGGGAGACCCCAATCAATCGCTTAGTAGCTGTCGGCTTGGCAAGTTACTCAGCCTTCTTGAGCCTCAGTTTCCTTATTGATAAAAAGTAGTGACAACATTTCTTCCAAAATGGTTGTGGAATTGAGACAATGTGTAGAAGTGCTTCACTCACTGCCAAAAATATGGTAATTGCACTATATTTAATATTACATTGGCAAAGTTTTGAGAACAAGAGAATGATTTTCTGCTGCTTTTGGCATTCTGGCTAGGAGAAAAAAAAAACCACACAGCCTTTTAAAACGAGGAAACCCCTTTTCCTCACCCCAGGACAACACCCTCAGCCAACCAACTTGTAGTTACTGACCTCTTCCTATACCCGGTCAATGGGTTATTACTCTTCTATCAAGTACCTTCAACCTGCTCTCCTCTGAAACCCACCCACCCCTCAGTGGACTGAGCGCTCCATATCTTCATGGGCAGGGCTTTATTCCAATGTTTCATTTTATTTCCACTCTACCCTTATGACCACTCCTCGAATCCAAGTTTATTATCACGGAACTATTATTGTTGCACATCAAATTCCAAAGAAAAACAGCATCAGGCGATTTCGTTTCACTTGACGTATTATCAAACAATAAAAGACACAGGTGTAACCAAACATGTGTCCTCAGTCTGTGAAGACATGCCCCCAGGTTGACCTGCAAATTTGGTTTCATAGCACCCGCTCCTCTAAGAAAAAGAAACAAAATAAGAACAGAACGTCCCCGCTGATTACCTCTGAAGAACCTCCCTCATGTGCTGGAGATGTGTTCAACTATAAGAGGTTTTTTAAAATGGATCTTTTTAGTGGGTTTCTTATTCATAATTTGTCTGGTTTTATTCACTTTAACGATGAGCTAGATGAAAATATTCAGCTTTCAAAGCTCATAGGTATCAGTTTTCTATTCCTATCTTAAAAAAATTCCTATTTTCTATTCCAAATTTCAGTGACTTAAAAAGGGGGACCATTTTAGTCCTCTTATTTGCTCATCATTCTACAGGTCAGTCATGTGGGCTGGGTTCAGATGGGGTCATGTATATGTCCCAGTGATGAAATTGGGGCCTTATGGACTGATTAGGCCTCACTGGTACGTGTGGAAATGGGTGGTCATAGTCAGTGGGATAGTCTGGGCTGGTAGCAAGGCCCCAGAGCTCAAGAGTAGAAGCTGCAAGACCTCTGTGGACAGGTTCACATGCCACCACTTCTGCTGCATCTGTTGGTTAAGGCAAATCACATGGCCAAGCCAAGAGTCACGCATACACAGAGAGGAATTATAGCAGCCAGGTTGCAAATAATCTACCACACCACATAAACCTTTACGAGAGTAAATTAAGCCATAAACCTCATCTTCCTGATTCGTTTAGCTGACTTTTAGTCTATACTGGGATCAGGTACCAGTGATACAAGAGGGATGGATAGGGTGTCCCCCAACAATGTATACACACACTCTGAATACATTTCATTTTCAAAATTGAGCTATCAGCTGTTAAAGTGTATAGCTATTTTGGGGGGACACCCTGTATATGGCTGATGCTCTAAGGAATTTCATCTCTGGGTGGTGAGTGGCTCAATGATCCTGTGATGCGGTAACTTGTGTTTGGTTGAACTGATGAATCTGGTCAGATAACCCAGAGATGTGTGCCATCCATCACAACACAGATTGAACAAGAAGACTTCTGTGTGTTGTTTATAAACCCAACCTCATTACAACAAATTCATAGAGACAAGCAAGTCCTGAAATTTTTTTTTTCTTACCAGTGGTTGGCAAACTCATTAGTCAACAGAGCCAAATATCAACAGTACAACGATTGAAATTTCTTTTGAGAGCCAAATTTTTTAAACTTAAACTATATAGGTAGGTACATTGTTATTAACTTAATTAGGGTACTCCTAAGGCTTAGGAAGAGCCACACTCAAGGGGCCAAAGAGCCGCATGTGGCTCGAGAACCACAGTTTGCCGACCACGGGCTTAGACCAAGTTAATTATATTATCACAATTAAATGATAGCACAGGTTTTTGATCCACATTTGAGGCAGATTAGGGTAGTGGTTAAGAGCTTTGTTATGGAAAATCATCATCATCATCATCATCATCTCAATATCCTCACTATAAAATAGAGGCTATACCAGGGGTGGGCAAACTTTTTGACTCGAGGGCCACAATGGGTTCTTAAACTGGACCGGAGGGCCGGAACAAAAGCATGGATGGAGTGTTTGTGTGAACTAATATAAATTCAAAGTAAACATCATTACATAAAAGGGAACAGTCTTTTTTTTTTTTAGTTTTATTCATTTCAAACGGGCCGGATCCGGCCCGCGGGCTGTAGTTTGCCCACGGCTGGGCTATACTATAATCATGCTATTATATTGTGAAATATAGAAAAGAAAATGGACAGTGTCAAAATCTTAGTTTTCATACATAACAGTGTTGTTTTACAACCAGGGAAGAAAAAGAACCTTCTTTATAAAATGTTTGAGTAAAGATCCAACATTTAAATTCACTCAAGTGTCCACAGTTTCTCTGTTTTGCCCCCTGCTCTTCAAGAATCTTGGAAAACTAAACAAACATTACTATAAGGAGACTGCAGACATAGCATACTGGTTTAAATTAGGAATCCACTTTCTTTCCTTGAAACCATTTTTTTACCAGACACAACATAGTGTGTGTGTGTGTGTGTGTGTGTGTGTGTGTGTATTCACTAGGATGGTATCTTTATAAAAACTCAGC